TTTCTGACAATATTCTCTTTCTAGGTCATAAAGAACTGAAATTCATGTATTTTTCAATACACCCCATCACCTGTGTGACCCCAAAAAGTTCAGTTCAAAACTGCAGTCAGTGAAACCAAAGTTACTTCTACGGCTGCACACTTAAATAACCTTACTACACAATGTCTATTGAATATTACTAGCACAAAATCATTAAGGATGGAAGAGACCTCTGAAGGTCTAAGGTCTAAGGTCCTTGCTCAAGCAGGGTCACCTAGAACAGGTTTCCCAGGTGTCCATGTGACACAGTACTGCAGAATATCTAGGGCAGTGCTTGACATCTACTTAGTCAATCACTCCATCAGACGTCTTAAATTGCCTTATTTCTTCATTATAGGCCTACAGTTTTTAGTAGATGCTTTTGGTGGAGCAATGAGATCATTATTTCAAGGCCCTCAGAGACCATAGGCTGCATCACCACAGACAGCAAATACAGTCTGCATACAAAGATTAAAAGGATAATTACTGGAGTAGAACAAACGTCTGTGCGAAGGACTGACCTGATGTTGTGTAAGGGAAACAATATCTGGGGGGGAAAAATTCTTCACAATGGGATTTGGTTACATTTGGTAATGTTAAAACTGCCCCTCATTACTCAAAACCCACCAGAACCATCCCATTTGGCACAATTATTTAAGACCTTTTACAACTGACGAAGCCCTTTACAAACTCGCCAAACAGGCAAAGCCAATTCACAGACTGACAAAAATTCACCTCCCCAGTGAGGCCATGAATCAACACATACACGAAGCTAAAATTAAACTGATATGACTGTGGATAAACACATTCCTTGCATTTTTTTTTCCAGTTGGAAATTGACCCACGTTTGGTTTGAATTAAAGATTCATCGCACTGAAACAAATAACTAAATGGAAAGATATAAGTCCCTTTGAAGAGCGTGCAAATCAAATTTGGGTGATAATTAGCAGCAGATAATTGAAACCTACTGTTTATTTGCACAGAACCTGATGTTACTGAGCTACCTCTGGAACAGACAAATAGAGCTGCATATTCTGCTTTCCACCCTCCTTTTCTTTTTATAAAGCTTTTACAGAAGATTGCCAACTCACTAACGCCAAAGCTTTTGTAGCCTTGTTAAATAAATGAAGGGGAGGAGGAAGTAAATGAAAATCCTTTTTTTTTTCTATTCTAAAAAATAATGGATCTTTAATAACTTATGTCTGCTGCTTCTCCTCTTCCTCTCCCGTACACACGACAAAATTGGATTTTGAGTCAAATATTGCCTTCAGATTGCAGCACAAACAAACAGATCTGTATTTGAGCACAAGGTTTTGAGGCTTCTTTAACCTAGTCACACCATCTGTGGCATGGTTTACTCCAACCTTCAGTCTCAAATTCTTTCAATGCCTGGACCCTGGTATCAGAACCATAAAACTACTATTAACTAACTTTTTGGACTGAAAGAGCATGGCAGATGGAAAAAAAAAAAAAGGAAATAAATCCAGTTTTCTCTGTCACCCATCACTTCACCCTGATATCTAGACTAGTATTTATTTCTACTAAGCTAATCAGGTAAGAAAGAAAATACTTTCACTTCTCTTGGGTTAGATGCTAAACACACCTGCATGCAAATAGCAGAGGGGGTCTTAGCTAGAGTGTTTACAAATTGAAAACATAAACCTGAAATCCCCCAAAAGCTAATGCATCTCACTTATGGAAAATGGGAGCACAGATAAAAAGTGATGATTACTTCTAGGATCCTGCTTGATCACAACAGCTCTGAAACAAACCAGGAAACCTCTGACAGTGCTGCAGAAGCACGTCAAAGTGACTTAAGGCTAGAAGTATCTGAGAATGCTTTATTACTTACTTAGGAGCTTCAAATTTATTGCCAAAATGAAATGAAAGAAAACAAAATCAGAGTGGGGTGGCATCTCCCTTTTGGCTTCAACAAAATCAAATGTGGTATAATTCAACTTTTAAAAAACGCAAGTCTTCAACTCTCTGGGAGGTAAGTTTTAACTCTCAGAGTGGCTGTCAAAGAATTAAAATTGCTCTCCTTAATAGATGAGAGTAACATAATCCATTTTCATAAAGGGAATACTAATTACTAGAAGTGTCATAAAGTTGTACATGTTTTCATTAAAAACTCAAAATACAGTCTAATCAACAGGGAAAATTTAACCTCAGAAAAAAACAGTGTAGTAGCAAATAGATTCCAAAACTCCCAAAGACTGTGTTGTCAATGATGTTCATTCAGTATCAGAAAAACACCTCCCCAGTTCCACAATATTTTGGAATTGACTCACAGTTTTTAGCAATGTTCTTGCTCAATCTAAAATCAGACCTTACATATTTGGTGTGTTCTTTCACAAGCAGCTTTCAAACTGTGTGCTGAGCCCATCCTTGCAACTATTAAGACACACAAATCCCCATCTGAACATAATATTCACTAAATTCATTCTTCACCCAGTGACATCCAAGTATTTTCACAGAGGTGCAAGGGGGGAAAAAAGGCAGTATGTTTAATATTTTTAAGTATGTTAATCACGTCATCTACTACATAAATGGATACACTAGTATACAACTCCCTGTGTGTACAATACATCCCATGTTTTTAAAATCAAGTTTTAGTCATTTAAATCTCAAAGGTCCCCGCAAAATCCATCCCAAACACACACCTACCCACCTTCCCACTCATCTCTTCCAAACTCTGGAGCCTCATCTCCCTCAGCCTCATCTGAATTTCCTTCTCCATACACAAAGCTTTCCAAGTCCCTGTTCCTGAGCACTCGGCATCCAGCCTTCCACAGACACAGTAGACTATAGTCTGCTATTTGCCCTTGTTAACAGGGGCCTTCGAAATCCCTGATTGATTTTCCCATGCAAGGAAGAAGGGTGAAATTCAATTGTCCAACCTCACTAATATTAACCACATCCATTTTTATCCTGTGGGCCATTTGCCAGCCTCAGATACACCCAGCAATATCACACAGTGAGATGAACCACAGCACGTTTTCACTGACAGTGACTCCGCTTCCTGGACAGTCTACTCCAGTGTTTAACAACCCTTTCTGTGAAGAACTTCCTCCTACTGTCCAGCTTGAACATTCCCTGGTGCAGCTTGAGGCCACATCCTCTTCTACTGTCACTAGTTGCCTGGGAGAAGAGGTCGACCCCCAGCTATACATAAATAATACAAAAGAGCTTTAAATTCTGATTTAGCCTGCTCCTCTATTTCTAAAACCATTTTTCCCACAAACTAATACGATATAAAGTCCAGAAAAAAATAAAACAGGGGTTTATGCTCAGCACACAACAGGGCAACTTAAGAGGTTTTTGCTTTTACAACAAAAATATTGACTTAACTGAATACTTTGTGTCTTTTGATGGTTTTCTTCCCTGGTACAGGAAGCTCCCTCAAGCTTGCTTGGTGTTTACCTATTGCAACTCGTTATTATTTATACATTTTTTTCCATTTCCTATACAATGACCAGCTGCAAGACCCAGTATCACACACAGACAAAATACACAGAGTGCATTGCATCTGTGCAGCAGCTCCCCTGCTGATCAGGTCTTCACTGGAACTTATTTTTGGCAATGACTTTCTTTAACCAAAGTCACAGCTGACTCCCCTCAGGTTGTCATGAAGACTTCTTGCATTTCTTGAAGCTGTCTAACAAATGCATTGTTGTGAAAATGCCAAGAAAAGGAGTGTATAATTTTAAAGGAAAAATTCAAATGGTTCAACACTTCCTGAAGACGAAAGGGATTTCTCTAAGGTTTAAAATTACTTATTTGTCAAGCTTATTCTGGAAATTTTTTTTCTTTGTTCAGATCCTCAAAATGAAAGGTGTTCTGACTTTCTGAAATAAGCTGCACATTAACACACGTACCCAAATCTTCAGAAATTCTGCCATGAAAGCTGGAATAAACATAACAAATCCTACCATAAAAATGCTACTGAAAGGCAATTAAAAAAATACACCATGTTCCTGTAACAAAAAAAAAATGTTCCAAAGTGAAGACAGCTGCACAGTAAACTGTACATAAAATGTTCACCAACACAAAAAATTTGCCTAGTAATTCTACAGGGATATGACAAAAAGAAAAAAAAAAGATGCTTAGCCATCCTAACCCAAATAGAGATTAAAATAATATATAAGTGATTTTATTAATTTTGTAACCGTCCGAATCAACGTGGAAAGTATTCAAAAGGCACGTTTATTTTGTCTCATTGGCAAAACAACAAATACTAACCATGAAGACTTCTACCTTTCAGCACTGCAGGCCCTACTCCAAGTTGAGAGGCAGTGCACTTCACCAATGTTCTGTTTCCATAGCATCCAAAAATAAAGTGCTGAAGTTCCAGGCATAAGAGCTTTCCTACATCAGAATCTCAGCACGCTTTCTGAAAACTTCAATCACAGTATGAAAAGGTTTGTCACCCCTCTAAAAAAATAGTAGGAAGATTCATTGTATCACCTGCAATTGCAGTATCTTCTCACGGCCAAAAGGAAGGAACTGGAAATATTGCAACACAAGTACCTGTAACAAAATACAAGGTACTCAACTCTAAATCCTGTAGCACGGATGCAGTGGCTGACTAACAAAAGCCCACTCTTTTCTTCTGTCTCCCCGAGGTATCAGGAATATGATGTGTCTGCCTTGTGAAAAAACAGTGGAGAAGGAGAGGATGTCTCAACAACCTCACCAGGGCAAGAGTTCTAACAAGGCAGGACCACTGGTTCTCTTGTAATTTGAAGATTAACATTACTCTATGTAGTGATAATGCTACAAGAAACAAATCCTAATAGTGTATGTTCAGAAAGAAGCATAAGGAGTATGGAAAGTTGGCCTATTGAGTATTTTATAATTTGCATTATAAAAAGCAGAGGAATAAGAATATTTTGCAATCATGTTACTTAAAACTGAGAACAATTCTCTTTTGCAAATGTAAATACTCAACTTGTTTAAATCAAGACAATCACAGATAGACATTTTTTCCCAAATCTTTGGCTGTATTGCAATGGTTGTTTCAATTTGTAATCTCCAACTAAACATTTCCTATCCATGGATTAACAATATATTTACTGACTTGTGTCTTTTAACAGTATTTATCCAACATAACAAAATAAACTGCAATTTGTTATACTTTTTTTTTTTACAAAACATTTTATAAATATTTTTACAAAATGTATACAAAGCAATTTCAAGTGAGACATACTTTACAAATGAAGGTATTTAAGCAAATAAAGTCCATACCACACTGACAATAAGTGACACATCCTCTTTAAGTGAAGTCAGTCTGTAAGGCCTCCCTACTCTAACAGATAAATTATACTAAAATCTTCAAAATGAACATAGTTTTCTTAATTGCCAGTTTAAAATTTGTTTTACTATTAGGCAGTATTAAATAACATTGAAATCACAATGCTGATCCAGCAAAATAATGAAAACATGTTTAAAGTCATGCACATTCACAATACTTTGCTGGACTTGAGCCCATATGATTAATAAACTTTTTTTTAAGCACCACAAAAATACAATTCTTTCATTTACTGCTTCATCACGTACCAGAATTCCTTTAGAATTGAATTCAAAGGAGTGAACAACAGGACATTAACAAACTAAGATCAATCTTGCTAGGATTGTTCAATGGGTTCCTCTCACAAGCAGTTCAGAGAAATGTGTCTGACCAAATCAATCACGATTACTTTTTGTAATTTGCCATTTTTTATATACCATTTCCCCCCCTCCCCAAATGAGATCCAATAGAAGACACATAGCCTGACACATCAATTTGCTGTAGAGAGGCTGGAAACCCCCCATCCATTTTGAGGTGGTACAAAAAGCAAGGGGATTAATGAATGTGCAACTTCACTTTTTTTTCTTCTCTATAAAAGAAAAATTTAACTGGTTAACATACAGCTGTGAAACTTACTGCTCTCCTTCCAAGATAGTTTAGAATGGTTAAATTTCCAAAATGATAAAATAAAATATGCATCAGGATATACAGCCATGAGCATATTATTAAATCTAAAAAGGCAATAGGTGAAGACTATATTGTCAGTTTTGCCAATAAGAAAACAACTAACTGCTTGAGAGTCTATTCTATGGACACCCAACTAAAAATTTAAAACTGGCAATACTTCTTATTATATTGAATATGTTATACAACACTTGGGAATGTTGGGTTTTTACAAACAAGTACTTTATAATTGGCACAATTTTTTTAAATGGCAATTAGTAACATACAAAAAACAGTATTTCCATTCACGTTGAAGGGGAAATGAATTTTAAGGAAGTTCATCTTTCTCACATTGCTTTCTAGATTTGGTTTCCTTTAGTGGTCAGACAGTGGACTGTAGTTCAATACTGAGTTGCACTGTAATCTCCTACTATCACAAGGATCTAATTCTGCTTTCTTCTGTGCTATTCCGATGGACTGAACTACACGATAGCAAAACCTTCTGTTTTCTCTCCTGGCAATCTGACTGACAACCACAGCTTGTCACAACGAGCCTCTATCTCATGAAAATCATAATCAGCAAGTCTGAAAAATGGTTGGTTAATTTTTCTAAGAAACTGTGGAGAAGTTCTGGGGAAGAACATGAGCACACCTTAAAAACCACAAAAGCTATACCCTCCTGAGCAGACATATGTACTGCACGCACGTGACGAATGTCAGCGCGCTTCTGTGCATAAAAGCACTCATGACCAAAGTAAACTAGGACAAAGCAGCATGGGCAGCAAAAAGAAAAAAAAACCAAAAAAAGAAAGTCATAGATTAAAATAAATAAATAAAATAATAAGATTCTATCTTAATAACATGACAGCAAGCCAGATACAAACCATGCAATGGTTTCACTTGGCTCTACAATATGAATTAATAATTACACATTTTTTGATATGTTTAAACAATGGGATTGCTGATCAACTTTGGTCTGTACATATCTTGATAATTATGACTGCTACGGTGGATGATTTAACATTCTCTGACAGCAAAACAGCAAAAAAATCAAAAATAAACACTGGCCTTTAAATTTAATCAGAGTAAGGCTAACGTCCTCTTAAAATATAAGCTACAAATACAGTTTTCAAATAAAAGTGCTTTTGACACTTGGTCTAAAAAAAACAAACAACAAATAAAAAAAAAAACCCAAAAACATTTATACCACTTCAGAAAGACTCAAGGCTGACTACATCCAATTATAAAATGCAAAATCTTTTCCTCAAGAGTTAACATATATATGTATTATATATATAAATTCATGGCTCTCTCATGGCCTCATCCTGTACACTTTGCCATTTACTGGCTTCCATTCTACCTTCCTTAGTCAAGCATTTATTACTTCATATCATGCCACTGTGACTAAGATCATATAATATCATCCCACAGACTAAAGTTACCCACTACAAATATATCATCAAGTACTAGTTTCTGCTCAGAAAGCAATAGAAAAGCACTTAAAAGTTTAAATAATGAAGCCTTGTAAACACACTGATGATTTCCTTCCAACTCAAGAATCCTAGAACACAGATTCATCAACAAAGCAAATAATCACTTCTGAATAGAGGTACAGTGGGTTTTCCAGGAAAACTAAAAATTTGATGATTTGTGGAAGAGAGGGTAGGGGAGAATTGTTGCTTCCATCACTCTTTAAAAACATTTTCTTAATAAATATATCTTTTCAAATGACTGTGATTGTCAGTATATTACCGTATTATATAGGGCCTAACAACCTGCAACCTTGTTATGTTGCAGCACTGCTCAATTAAAAGCGCTATCATAATAATACTCGAAACAGTAAGGCCCTAACAGACTGCATTCTAACAAGGATTAACTTTACTTGGATATCTCACTGTAACCACAATGAGTATTGCTCTCAAACACAGAACAGAATCTAGTTTAGAAAGGTTAACCTTAAATGCATGTCAGGCTGTACTTGTGGTGTCATTCACATTTGCTTCTGCTAAGAGAAACATAACTTGTCCATGGTACTGTAACTATTAACACTCTAAGATACTATTTACAGCTGCTTCTAAAATAGAGTCAGTTTCTACAACACTTTCACTGTGGTCTGGAATAAATTTTTCCAGGCAGTTCTCTTGTGAAGCAATAGGTGAAAAATTGGGAAATTCTAATTCAACGGAGCCGCTACTTGCCGCCTCGTTTTGTGGCTGTCTCCCAGCTTTTTTAAGTTCCAAGATGTTTTTAAATGTAGTTTCTAAACTCTTACTGAGCAGTAAGTCTTGCTGGGTTTCACCAGAGCCTTTCCTGTTATCAGGATGCAAAACCTCATTCTTTGGAGAGCTCCTCAGAGTTTTGTCTTGAAGAGAATTATTACACGTTACCTTTGAGAAAGATTGAATTGTGTTCCTTGATATCTTATTCTGTGTCCCATGACTGCCTCTTGACACAGCTTTTGACAAATCTTCAGAACTCGAAGAATTCTCAGTGGACTTGGCAAGATCTTTCCCAGTCATCCTTTCTTCAGAAAGGGCCACGTATTGGCTCTCAGAAGAACAATTAGCTTTTTCAAACTTTAAAGCTTTAGTGAGGCTCTCCGATTTTTTAGTAGAAGCTTTTCCTTCTTGTGGGGTCAGAATGTTGTTAGGCACTAGAGGAAGTTTACTGTGATTTGTGGACTCTGCTGAGCTGGATTTTGGTCGGTCTCTCGCTTGCGTTTTGGTACTCTGACTTCGAGAAGGTAATGTTTTGCTAGACTGATGGTCACTTTTGCTGGTCTGTGCTTCTTCAGCTGTTTTCTCAAGTTGTTTGGCAGAACAACAAAAATCGGCCTGATAACCATCTGAAAATTAAGTAGCAACATTTTACTAAAATTACCTACACATAAAAATAACTGACATTCCAATATAGCTTCTGAGTATTAAAATTCAAGTAACATCCACAGCCTACAGATTTGGGTCTTCAGATGATGTTCATACACTTACGTGTTCTGCTGCATACAGTGCAAGAGATTATCACTAAATTAATCACTAAATTAATCAGCATACCAGACACGTATGTGCACTTTAAAACCAGATTAAGGGCTCTTCCCAGCATTCTCAATATGCAAATATGGTCTCTGGAAGACTAATACTTTCTACAATACATCCTGTGAATACCTTTTAAAATATGCAGAACGTTTAAACAAATAGTAGCTCTTATCTTACACAAATAATGTGTTTCTAGGTGCTACGTTCGACAACATTCTGGTTAAAAATTGCTGCCATTTAAGTGGCCATGATACCCCAAAAACAACACTTCATTAAGATGAACAAGAGCATCCATGCTTCATAGAGTGGTGTTCTTTCTGGCAGCAAGAAACTCACAGATTCTTCCCTGCTAAAACTGACATCATGCAGAAGTCATGACTATTTTCAAAAGAAACTCACAAATATTTCTGCCAAACAGGTCAAATATATTTTTTTTCCAAAAATAACTGCTTCAACCTTACACTGTCTCTAAATTGTTGGATTTTGGAGTCATGAAAAGTTATCTTGCAACTGCTTATTCAGTATTTTGATTACTGCAATCCACAGCAATCAGTGCCCCACTGTGGCCACAACTATTTTTAAACACACCACACTTAATTTAGAAGTTAAGCATTACTTACCAGGATCCACAAGTGCAAGACGCTTATCCCGGGTCAGAGATGCCCTTTCCTCCTGGTTAAACATCCTATCGATCATAACCATTTCCGCAGAGGGATTTATCCGCTGCAGGAAAAGGAAAAAAAAAAATACATCTCTGTAGTGACTCATATGTTGGTACCAAATCAAAACATCTTAGTTACTCTTCAGAGAAAAAGAAATTTCTTTCATTAGATATTTATTCAACAATTCAACAATCTTGACTCTGACTCAACCGCTACTGAAACTTAATCATGAAGTATTACTCACATTTTATGGCAAATTTTATTTGGTAAAGATTTTAAACCAGGGAATTACTATTTCAATCATAAAAACTGTACTTTTTCAGGACTGAGTACATTTACTACTGTATACCACAATTTTTTTGACATCATACAGTATCTTTCTCTTTTAGAGAGACAACCAGCAAAAATCTTGCAATGGGACCACCCTATCATCTTCCCTACACTTCTCTTCCATCCTTCTAACTAGTTGGTGTTGGGTTTCATTTTGCTGACAGTGCCTTCAAGCCAGCTGGATCCACGTCATGGAAGAAAGCTCACTGCACTAAGTCACAACACAGGCAACTAGTATCAAACCTGAATGATATGTGAAACAACCCCTTCAAAATTACTGAACAGTATTTGCCATACAACATACCAGATGCTAAAAGAACAAATTTCAAACTCCTTCCCCTCTTTGCACCTGCAAATACTTGATGGTTAGGATCTTTTTTAAGGAACTGATAGATTCCAAAACCGTACTTATTCTAACACTTATAGTCTGTATTCCTGACTCTAAAGTAGAGTGATATGTCTATTATACTCCAACTCAAAACTTTTCCAGGCTCGAAAACTAGCATATCTGAGGCCACAATGACATTTCCTGGTCCTTGCAAAATACATTCTTAAAGTAACTTTGTGCATTTTATTTTACCTCATATCTGGGATTGTAAAAGCACTTGAATCAGAAGCATTTCTGATGAAAATATGAGATTCCATCTAGCTTCTAAGGACAAATAATGATTTCCTAAATTGGGATATGATTTGGCTCCAAATATAACATGCCTGGAGGCCTCTAAATAGACATTTTCAACATTATTTCACACTCCGACAGCGACAAAAATGCACAGAAATCACCTTCCTGACTATCACTGTCTGTTCAGTGGAAGAGCAAAGCAGAAGCAGAGAGCAGAAGCTCATGTGCCTTCAATGCCTATGGAACTTATTTAACAGCACCTCCAAAACCTTTACAACATATTTATCATCTTCATAAGGTGATAAACAGTATCAACAGAACAAACTGTAATATCAGTTCTCACCTTCCTGCAGGTGTATATTTTTTTAACAAACTGAATTACATCCAATAAACATGAAGTGTACCTGGGTTATACACCTTACCATTGCATCTTCTATCAGCAAACACCTGTATTTGTTCAGCATAGCCTGTGTCCTCTTCAGAAGCTGTGTGGCTACGGATTCAAATTCACTGTCCACTAGAAAGACAAAGTATACTTTCAAACACTGTTCTTCAGTAACCTGCACAAATTTTAAAATATTCCTTTTCTTATTGGTCTGACTTACATTAAGAATCCTCTCAATACACTGATTACAAACTTACTGCCAATTTTTAAAAAGAAAATTACCTTTTCTTAAGTCCTCCTCTGTTGGCAGTGATCCCTGGCACACATGGTATGAAAGGAGTCTTTGAACTGCATCATTTAATGATCTGAACCGACTTTTATCTGGTGTCACAGCATGTACCTGATCCTTCTGTAATTGTTGTAGAATACTACAACAAAAATTAATGATATATAATTAACAAGTACTGTACAGAAGTTTTTACATTGACAAAAACTAAAAAATTTAGGTTTCTGCAATAAAATTACAAAGGAAGAATGACTTACAAAGCTCCTTTAGTTAACTGTTTAGCAGCAGGCCTTTTCTGTCCAACTAAATGACCATCCACCTAAGTTCAAAATAAAAGACAAATTACAACATATCCCCTCCTTTGCAAAGCCTATCAGTATTTGTTTCTGTCATTTATCACTAACACTATCTGTTAACCAGCACATAAGTATAAACACTTTCAACTATCTCCTCTCCTAATAGGATACTGTATCAACAAAATAGGGAAGTCACATAAATCAAAGGTCTGAAATGCTGTTTGTAGGCAAATACCACTGTAGTGCATATATATGCTTCACTAGGAAAGAGATTACCAAATTTAGCAGATGAAAAGGAGGAAAGGTACAACTAAAAACTTTTCCAAACAAATTTGCTCTCACAAACTGTCTCTGCATTTCTTAGAAGATGATATTCATATACTCCAAAAAAACCCTTGCAAGGATTCCCAGCTTGTTTGCTTGCTCCCTCCCCTTACCCCAGTGGGGAGAAGAGTTAGAAAAAAGTAAACCTTGTGGGTTGAGAAGAACAGTTTAATAATGGAAACAAAATAATAATTGCTATAAAATTGTAATGAAAAAGAGAAAGAGAGGGGAATTAAACCCAGGAGAAACAAGTGATGCACAATACAATTGCTCAGCACTCTCTCACTGACGTCCATCCTGCCCCCAAGCAGTGATTGGTGGCTCAATTCTCCCATTTTTATATTGAACATGATGTTCTACAGCATGGAATATCCCTTTGGCCAGTTTGGGTCAGTTGTCCTGCCTCTGCACCCTCCCAGCTTCTTGTGCACCTCCTCACTGGCACCACACGGGACACTGAAAATTCCCTGACTTACTGAGTAAGCACTGCTCAACACCTAAAACATCGGTGTGTTATCAACGTTATTCTCATCCAAAACACAGCACTATACCCACTACTAAGAAGAAAATTAACTCTATCCCAACTGACATCAGGACAAACAGGGAAACACATAAATAAAAGCATTCTCTACCTGTATACTCTGTTGAACTGATGTTGATCCTATCACTTTTTCTTGTGGCTGTGCTGTTCCTAGAGATTGCGGCGCGATTTTTCCTCCAGAGTCCTGTCCTATAATAAAATGTTAAAAAGACTCTGTCACCCTAAGCAAGAAGAGAATAATTTCATGTACCTATCCTGATAATTTTATTTGAGTTTTTAGGAAGGATATGTCTTACATGCCTAAAAGCATTAGTGCAACTAACCTGTGGAGAAACTGGCTCACACAAATGAAACAGGACTGATATTTTGTGCTGCAAACTACAAAAATCCTCAGACATAAATCACCCCCTACCATAGTACTGCAAAGTAAGAAGAAATTCAAGTATCCTAAGTTTAGTGTCCCAACAATTTACTGAAAATTATACAGTAAATTTTATTATTATTTTCAATACTAACCCACCCTCAAGCATATAAACAAAATTTTTCTAGAGCTCATGAAAGTATTTAAACAGCAAGCATATCTTTCCCCCCCTATATTTTTTAGGTAGGTAGACTTCCTCCAACTGCCTTTCTCCGTAACTCAAACAGTATCTTATCAGTCATGCTACGTTACACCCCAAACAAATAAGAATTTATTGGGTTTTTTCCCCAAAAGAACACCCAACATACCATGGTAATTGTAAAGAACTGCTGGGCAGGTTACACATTACAGTACACAAGCAAAAGAAAAAAAGCAAGGTAGAGTATAGGACCTTATTCAAAAGAGTTATATATGTACAAAGAGAACAGGAAGGTTACTGAATTTTTCTATTTGACTTGAATATACTGGTATTGTTCTTTTAGTAGCACGGTGCTGCTTGAAAAGCTCAGTATTTTGCCATGGACAATGCACTAACTATTCTAACTGGAAGTGGCACATTTAAAACCAAAGTGAGTGATGACAGACCACACAAAACGTTGTAATCACTGTTTTTCTTCCCTCCATATCTGAAGCAGCCATCACAAGAGAATCTAGAAGTTTCAGAGAATTTTAGCAGATGTCTGTATTTTGAAAATTACTTATTTATACTTTCCTAAGCTGAAAAAAAAAATATGAAAGAAGGTACAATTTTGGATTTTATAGACGGGAGAAATAATTGCTAATTGCGGAGATTCAACTTTTCACTCTAGGAAATGAAGTACCATGGCTGGGAAAAAAAATCAAAGGACACATTCAATACTGAAAAAAATAGCTTGCAATGCTTTTAAAAATTAAATTCCAACAACCTTTAGGACCCTATCAGCATGATCCATCAGTGTAAGTCTGACACACTCTCTTGCTGGAGAAAATTAAGAAAATTATGTTAAAAAGACCTTAGTTGACCTGATAGTGTGTTGCTCAGAAGACTTGTTAGCTGAGGTTGTCTCAAATTATCCTGTGTCTTCGATGCAGAAACTGGTGATGTCTGGTTCACAGCCTTTTTCTGTGCCACATACATAAAATAAATTAAAAAATATTTTAAAAATCACAGCAAAATATTTACTGGAAGCTTTAAGAAACAGAAGGAAAAGGTATTTAAAATTCATCTCTGTGTATACTTTTTTAACCTCAAACTCATCAGTGGTGAAATTTCAGACATCTCAATTTCTCCAAGATCAAGAATTTTATAAAGTAAATCAAAGAGGAATAGAAATTACACTAACAGTACAAATATATACCAGTTACATTCTACAAGACCTCTGAATTTGCCACTACAAGAGTCCCAAAACTGCAAGATGACAAAGTTGCTTTCACAACAAAAAAAACACACAGTGGAACAAACCATCCACTGTTCAGCAACTAAAATGATAAATGGTTTATCATACAGCAGAATGTTTAAAACGGAAGTACAAACAAACTAAAAAGATTCTGGCAAACACTGGCATTTGTTCTCTGTAGTTCCCATTTTCAGCTCTGAAATTTCAGCACGGTGAACTTTTTAGCAATAAGAAATATTATGCTTTTATAACTGCTGAAACTCACTGACCCAGCACATAACCTACAAACAGGAAGATGTAGACACATGAAGAGAAAGTCAGAGAGGCCTCAAATTACTCAAAATACAAAATGTAACCACCTGCACTAGCAGTTTTGGCAAAGACTACAAATGTGGTTCTACAACATGTTTGTCCTTATTTCTTAAATTCACATTATTTTCTAAGACATTATTTCATTGCAAATTTTGAGTTTGTTTAAAAAAAGGACTATTAGACCTTTGGAAAAAGAAAAAGAAGTAAAATAATTAGTGCAAATGAATTCTCAGACAGTTATCAGTATTTTAAAATGACCAAGAACAAACAAACAAAATCGAAAAATAAGAACAGAGGTGGAATAACTCATTGCTAATCGTGTGAGAAGTCCCTGAGTTAAATACTGGCAGTTGACTTCAGAATCTTTTTCTTTTTTTGTTTTTAAACTTTTGACAGTTTGAAAGCTCTCTTATGAAGACACACAAATTTGAGTTGAATATATATCACAGCTGTGTCTACTGGGAAAAAACAGACCACTTCTCACCCTAAAAGTAAATTCAGATTTTTTTTTTTAATTATTACTAAGTAGACTTCTTAAAGCAAATTTTTTTTAATGTTATGCTTTTACAAACTGCTTTAAAAGATTTTTTTTTCCAGGATTCTCAGAAACACTTCTTGTCTTTGCTTCAAATTTAAAAGCTTCTACCTGCTCCAGATACACGACAAAGTGGGCAAAATGCCAATACAGCAAATAACAACAAAAAAAAAAAAAAACAAGACACCTTTTCATCTCTAACTTGAAGAGGTCAAACCTTGAAAAACACATAGGTTTTAGTGAGGTCAAATGACTTTTAAGTGCTAAGAATATACCAGAGCCTTTACATGTAGCCTATGGTAATGTTTTCAGGAGAGCTCACAGTTGTATAAACTTACAGTGCCCATTCTTTTAAAAAGGAGCAGAAATAGATTAATGCTAAGCACTTCTGAAAATATTACTACAAATCACCAAGTCTTCTGAATTAATCAAACTGACAGAGTCATTCACTCAGTGACAGATTTAGAAAATACCAAGTGAAAGGATGTCTCTGGGTTACAGTAGTTTCCAGCAGTTCCACAATATCTGGAACAATACAAACCAGTAAAATTAATGTTCTCTGTATTAGCAGCAACATTAAAACTTTGCTAACCAGCTTTTAGCACAGCTTAGAAGCATTTCTTTGGCTACACTCTCAAGCAGCTTTCATACCTGACCAAATGCAAACTGCTGTTGTGTTACTCCACCAGATGTGTGACTGAAGGTGCTGATGGATTTGGAAGAGGACGCTGGAAGACGATGTGATGCACTGACAGAAGCTTGAGTTCTGTTCTGTATGAGCTGATCTCCTGCAAAGTTTCCTCCTGACGCGACAGACTGAACTGATGGTCCCAAGCTGGGATGTACTGAACCAGAAGAACTTGCAACAGCAAATCTGTTAGAAGCTGACATATTTGAGACTGTGGACTGCCCCGGTGACATCGCAGTGAAACTCGATCTACCTTGAGAAACATTAGCTTGACTGGGTGACAAATGCAACACCGTTGGTGACGCCTGCTGCATTGGCACCTGCCCACCAACAATTTGTGAAGTTCCATGGTTTACTATAACTTGGTTTCCAGGAGCTGTGAATGTCTGGCCAGAAACAAGCTGAACAGCTGTGTTCTGATTATTCAGCATCTGTCCTGAATACGACTGGTTGGCTCTTAGCATGTTTGTAGAGTTCCTGTTGAGCATTACATGCTCAGCAGACACTTGGCCAGGGACCAGCTGGGAAGGCTGAGTCTGAAGAAGCTGTCCATTTATGGCCTGGACATGATGAACTGAATTAGAATTAACAGACAAACTTGTAGGTATGAGAAACTGGTTTTGAGATGCGTGAGGCTGTCCCATAGGAGAATGGATAACAATACTACCTCCAGCATTGCTAACTGTCTGAGGTGTAACTGATTTTCTTGTATTTTGTTGATTAACAATATTAACAGACATATGAGGACCAACTACTGAACTTTGAGGTGAGTTTGCAGAAGCAAAGGGAATCCCTTGCTGTACATGATGTTGCTGTATTCCCAAGTTATTCACATTGTAAGCAGTCTGCTGACCCATCTGAATCGGCTTTGGTTGGATATTAATAGGAACTTTGTTAGAGTTTGGTGCCAAACCCCTTTGAATGATGATATTATGGACAGGCAACGAAGTCTGAAAATTTGTGCTGTTAAATGGAACAGTTACGGGTTGTGCTACTGGACTTGAATTTGAGTTACTGAACAGCGAGTTCCCATTTGGAGTTTGTCTGTGAACCAAGAGCCCACTACTCATGTTTGCAGGTGTTTGCTGACCATTGCCTTTCAATATTATCTGAGATCCATCGAGGTTATTAATGGTCATCATGGAAGGTTGATTACTAAATGAACCGATTAGTTGTATCTGCCCAGAACCACTGATCTGGCTGCTATTAGACAAATGCTGGCTGGGAACACTAATTCCGACATGTTGCATAAAGCCATGTTGCACACCGACTGTATTGCTTGCAAAAGATGCTCCAACAGGTTGCTGTACCACTTGAGTAACTCCTATAGGTTGCAACGTCTGACCTGAGTAATTAGAAACATTAGAAGCCTGAGTAAAGGATGCTGATGAAGAAGGATGAAGCTGAGCTTGTGCAAACTGTTGGCTAGAACCTACGCTGGCATCCAAATATGCCTCTTCTGCCAAAGTCTGTTCAGTAATATTGGCCTCCTGCAAGGACTTCTGAAGAATATCAAAAGGCTGATCCTCAGTAAGATCAGGCAAAGGAGACGATACAAGTTCATCTTCAAGAAACTGAAGGCTACTGGACAGCTGCAGTCCATCACTAGGCCCCTCTCCAAGCTGACCGCTTACACCTTTTACAGACGACTTAGGATCAGTGCTCTGAAACGCAAAACAAGAAATAATTTTCATAAACTTCAACATCTACCTTGTTTTCTCAGTTTTTCTTCATGCAAGCAAATTTTCTACACAAAATTCCACTCTTCACATTGCACATGTAAGGTGACATTCACCCCATACAGTGGGCCAGCACAAACACATATATCACCGACATCTCACTCGTGCCCTCAAACAGACTGCTGGAGCACTACTTTCATTTCCCATCTCAAATTTCCCAATTCCACACCAGCTAGCTCTGTAGCTGCACTGTTTCAAGAGGACTTGAAATGCTCTTTAAGTACCATTTTCCCTTCCTCAATCTGAGCACTGGACAGACAAAAGCATAAAAGAAAGGAGGAGTGAAAACAGCTCTGCTGTAATTCAATTTCGGGCAAGGCTTCAGTAGCAGCAGTAGTAGCAGGGAAAAGGAAGGAGAAAGCTTCTCTTTCACTGACTTCTAGAAAATTACATCCCTCTCTAAAATCCTATCAGCATTTCTATAATCACTTAGTGTAAACTTGTGACCAGTTCATAAAATTAATTATTCTAATTCTTTAAGAAAAATTGTAGAAACAAAGCAGTAAGAAAAGTAATGCTACAGACTTTGTGGTTTACGCTACCAAAAAGATTACTGAGAACTATAAACACTGAAACTACCACAAATTTTAAGTGGCTTTAATGAAAAAAAAAATCCTTCAAATCTACATCCATAAACACTGTGCTAAAGAAAATGAGAACCTATTTACTCTTGCCAAATGCTGTCCTAGTTAGAGCAGTCGGAACCAGTTCGTCACTGTGTGGGTGTGACCCAAACTCTGTATTCTACACCCTCCATGACATTTCCCAGGAACTGTTAACAACAGACCATTTGCAGCAGCTGCCCAGAGCACACCCGACCCCTCAGGGTATAAGCCAGGTGTTAAAAAGCCTGTGAGATAGGAAGATATTCCTATCCTCACATCAATGATTCAGGTGTGATATCTCCTCTCCGGGGAGTCATTAGCACCTCCACATCCAGCCTGAGGGGTCATGTCTGCTAATAGGCGACCAAGGATTCCAAAAATATCTCACAACTCACAATCATTCCCCGCCCTAGGGAAGGTACTGGGCATTCCCACTTGAACCTGAGTGTATATAATTTTGAGGTCTTAGGACTTCTGGTACCACTCGTCAGATCCAGAGGAGGATCAGAACTTCAACCAGACTGCAGCCACCACTCTTGACCAGACTGCGACCAGCACTCTCACCAACAGGTTTTCCTCCCCTTTTACTTTGGACTCAGGGGGACCACGTGGGGCTCAGTGCAGGAGCCAGCAAACACCATTCTGTTCATGTCCCAGAGTGCTGGGTTATACATCTGGGTTTTGTGGGTTAAAACCAATTGTCTGTCCATATAATTTTATTATTGTATTATTTTTTATTAAATTGTAACTCTGACTTACAATCTCTTTTGAGTTGGGTTCATTTCTCCTGCCGGTTTACCTTTAAACCAGCACAACTGTGCCTAAGATTTTCCTAAAACAAAATTCTGTCCAGAAACTCTAGACAACACGAGTACCAGGTTTCTGCAGATGGAATGACAATTTAAACGCATAATAATACTTGCAGTAGTTTCAAGTTAGGCAGAGTACATCTTTCTACATTGCATAATTATATCTCAGCTGTTCAAAAACAACATCCAGTGGCTTTTTAGGTCAGGATAAATGTAAACCGTGGGTGTGCAATTATCAGTCACGTTCATACTCTGAGCCTTCACTCCTTGAAGGTCATAGACGCTTGTTCTCACCTCATGTAAACAGCATGAAGATGCTACAAGCCATAATTATCCCATGCAACAACGTCCCCACCCTAACTTCAGTTCCCCAAGCAGATTTATTCAGAATTTTACCCCAATCTGCTTCTAAAACAGCCTGTGTGTTTTTTGACACTTAAGTCATGTTTTGAAATATTAAAAGATTGTTACTAAGATTAAATAAAATATTTTCAGATTACAACTATAAAACTACCAGAGGAATTAAACTAGTGCTTAAATGTCTTGATGCCTGCATCTCATGAACACCTAAAGCTCAGATCCTCAACTGTACCCAGCTACCACTGGGTAAAGTAAAAAAAGAATCACTAGGGAATTACTAAGACTCTTAACTGTCACGTTCTTCAGGAGAATTCCCTATTGTATCTGTAATTTGTCTGCAGGTACAATGACCGATCTGAAATCTTTAATGACCGTGTAACTTAAAAAGTTCCAGTTAGTTGTATTAACAATACAATTATTACTACTACCAATAATAACAATAATAAATAATATTACATGCAATCGAGATTAGTAGCTTGAAACTCTCCCATTGGAATAGAGACTTCCAAGTTTCAATTCCTGCACCCACAACTATTTAACGTCCAAAAACAATTTTATGTGCATAAACTGGAACAAGAGCCCTTCAAAGTTAGTATCTGAATCACCTGCTGTCCAGATTCAGAAAAGCCATGCAGAACACCAGGCTAATTGCAGCAAGAAATCAAGCTTACCCACAAGAGTCTTATTCTCACTGTCTCCATGAATATTCTGCTCTCTTACACTGTCCTACTATACTGTAATAGGATAATGGAAGCAGTCACCCAGTATAACCCAGGTAATAGGGCAATGGCTAAGGAACCCTCTCAGGAGGGTTGTAACAGACACTGCCAACCACCACAGGAAACCAACCAGGAAGCAGTAGAGCTGGTATGGAATCATTCAACTTGGGGAAGGAGAGGATGGGGGTGGGGGTAGTGTAAGGGTGTGGGAAGAGTGGACAGTGCTTTCTTGTCCTTCAGGCAGGAGGAACTGAACCTTGCTTGTGTTAGGTGTTGGCTGAGCATGCTTACCCGCTGAGGCACTGAACCCTTGACACTGAATTTGTAAACTCTGCCACTGAAAGGCATGAGACGGGCATCAAGACAGTCAATCCTACTTCATGGTAGCAATTCTGAATATATACAAAGACAGAACTTTCAGTATCTGCAAAAACTTTAATGACAAAAAAATTCAGAAGCCTTTAACTTTTTGGGTATACCACATGATAAGCAAGGACTGTGAAGTCTGTTTATATTTATATTTTAGATAACACTTGTTCCTTCACAAGGCACTCTCTATTTGGAATTTGTAAGAATCTCTACTTGTAATCAAGTTGTTCATCACTTAGGTCAGCACAGGGCTCTCACAGGAAGGAGGGAAGAGAAGATGGCATTGGTATTCACTACGAAGACATAAAAGGATGAAGACAGAGCAGGAGAAGAACAAGTGCCGAGAATGAAAATGCAGTGTGTCATCCTAGGAACATACATTAGGAATCCCTGCTCCTCTGACTACCTGCTTTCTAGATTACCTACTCCCCTAATTTCATATACCAGAAAGCTCTTGGCTTTCACCAAATATTTTTGTCTCCTCCAATTGCTACTCCCTATGCAACAAATCCACCTTATGTGGAATCTCCCACTTCCTCTCACTTTCTGAAAATACACCAGAAACACCTGACTTCTGCACACCCACACATGCTTATCAGATGAATGTCTACAAAGAAATAGGAAGTCTAGGCTATGACAAATGCACGTCATATGTCACCCTCTTCTCCCCAAACCTTGTTTTTCTTAGGATGAGTCCTCAAAACCCACTCTGACAACGATGCCTACAGGGAGCTTCTGTCTGCTAATGGCAAGCCTGGTACCAAGCTGAAACCACAGCTCCTGGTGAACTGAAAATTGAGCACACCCTATTACAATCGGTATTCTACTCCATGACCATTATCTCAACCAGCTCGTCTGGAGAAAGAACTGTCACTCAACGTATACTTCTTTTACAATATTTAATAATGATGTCGAAAGGAGAAGAACAGAGCAAACACTTCACATTCCAATACTGTACCTACAAGAAAGTCACTAGTTCTCCAAATACAGATACACAGTTTTTAGAATTTACTTATGCCAATAATTTAAGGTCCCTACACACCTACAAGTATATCCATGTATCTGTTATGAACATGGGACAAACACACAAGAGTCAAGATAACAGTACAACAGAAAGAGGAATTACCAAGAAAATCCTACTCTATGTATTCAAATAACTTAATTGTGGGATTAAGAACTCAGGTTTATTTTTTAAAGCCACAGGAATGAAATCAAAGAAATGTGGGTCAGAAGGAATCTCCCTAACTCATCCAGTCCAAACATCTACTCAAAGCAGGACTCCGCCAACACTAGAGCAGATCAGCCTTGGCTTTATCACCAAGGATTGGGATTCCACAACCTCACTGTGTGACACTTGGTCCAGGGCTGCAATACATTCCTGGCAAGAAAGAACACTGAAGACTCCTTGCAACACCTAATGAATTTAAAGTGACTTCCCTAACACAGAAGTTACAGGAAGGAAACAACCCAAGCTAGCTATTCAGTCCAAAATAAAAAAAAAGGAAAAAAATAATCATTAATTTCAACAAATTGCCAGCTCAGATTCTACTTAAAATAAGAAAAAAACCCCATCCTAATATACACAGGAAATGTATGCATAACTAACTCTTAAGGTCTATATTTGAGCACTACTAGATCTACAATCACTAAAGTTGCAAGGTCAGTTTACTGGAGGGAGCTACACCAGAGAGTATTTTCACCGCTCAGCAAGCTGATTTACATATTTACAAAACAAGTCCCAACGGTGCAGTATTTTTAATTAATTCCCCACCAAAATACTTAAAATACTAACAGCATGGGGGGAGGGAGGTAGTTCTATGTTAGCATTCAGAATTTTCATAGGAAAAGGGTCAAAACCCACATCTACTTCATTCAGTTTTATGAAGGCCAAGTAAAGCCACACAGAAGCATGCAATCTCAATAAAGAGAATTTCTCTTCTGACCACTTACATTGGAGTTGGCGAAAATTGAATTTGAGTTGGCTACAGAATATTCTGCATTAGTCAAGTCTTCATTGCTCTGGTAAAAGACAGAAACAACTTTAGAAATAATACACTCAATGAAGCTTTCTATATCTAATACACAGGAATGCTACTTACAGATTTACTACTAGGTCCATGTAGAAAATAATTCAGCGCCTGTGGGTCCCTTAAGGGGGAAAAACAATAAAGAAGTTAGCACTTTTTGGAAGTTCTACTAATGACACTAATTTAACAAAGGCACATGCTGTATTCATATAAATCAGGTTTATAGTAAAAACACACTTCTTTCACTGAATCCAATGCAAAGTTGAAACTTTATATCATCTGAGGATTTCTGTTTCTGTATCAGCACAATTTTCAGATGTTAATTGTATTTGCTGCCACTGTAACAAGGCATTTCAAGCAATAAACTATGCTGATCACAAAATCTTAGCTGCACTCTACTTCCCTTTATGAGGATTATTCATACACTCTTAAAACACATGGTATTTTATGACAAGACACAGTACAAAACCTAAGGAACATACTACCACCAAATAACATGAGAACTAAAACAGGTACCACCTTTTCTACAGCTAAACTATAATGCCTTGTTTAGCTCGTATCTAATAATGGGGTATTTACAAACCTGAATCTTTGACATGTTTTCTGCTGCCCTTAACATATATTAATAAAAACTTATGATTGCCAGAGTAACAGTCCCCTCATGGAGAAAATGCGGCACCTTTTCCAAGCGAAATCAACTACAGAAATAACTGGCTAAATATTATGACTTTCAGCGTATTTCATTAACTTAGCACTACTGCTGATTAAAACTCTGATGAAAATTCTGGTCTGACAGAATGAGTACTGGGAATTCAAACAAATAAAAAATACATTAATAGACATATACAGACCAAGTAAAAACAGTAAAAGGCTGTGTTACATGGGATTATTCTAACGCAACAATTATATGGCATTTCCTAACATGTCCATTAGCATAAAGACTAAATTGACAGGTTTTTTATTTTAAAACATGTTTATTGTTTAACACATAACAATACAACATTTTTTAGAAGCACTGAAAGCATCTCCTTCTTGCTTGATCATCCTAGAAAATAAAGAGGGAACAAGTTAAAGACCTTTCAGGTTTACAACTACTCTTCTAAAAGCAAAACATACGTTTACTCCTCTTTTTTTCACAAAAGTTGTTTACAAAAGACGTATTAGATAGTACTTGGCAGGGACCTTATGGTATATTATGCTTACAACATTGAAGTGGTTACACATATTGTAAAATGAAAATGTCATTTTCACAGCAGATTACACCGAATTTCAAGAATTAAGCAGCACAGAACTCATGGTCTCATAGGGGGCTCTATCATGATTACATGTTTTATCAGTAAAACAACCAGGTCATTTAGTACTAATTACCCTCACTGTCTTTCGATCATGAAAAATGCAATTAAAAATTAAGAACACTTCATCACCTTAAATATTGTCTTTAGTAAGGAAGGAATTTTAAAAGGCACTTACCAAATCATAGATCAGACGGAAAAAAGAAAATGTGTTTTCCATTCTTCTAGGTGCTTAAGACAATTATTTCTGCCAGCAGCAGGAAGAACTCTGTAATTTTTCACACAAACACTCATCTGTATAGAGAGCACTTCATTCTCTGGACCACCTGTGATCTTGTACCAGAATCCTCACGATTCACCCTCACGCCAGAGCACTTAATTATCCCAGGATCATCTTTATGTTTCAAGCAGGAAGTGTTTTCATGTTGCCACAATCAGTAACCTTGTGCAACAGTACACTGCACAGCGGTGCTTTTGCAACAGCATCCACAGAGCAACCCTCAACAGAGCAACCCCCAAATTACAGCAGCCACTGCGGTGGCATTTTGTTTTTTCTGAAGTTAAAGCTCTCGCTGGTTTCACTGGAAGTTTCCCATGTGTAAGAAAGGTAAAAAGCCTATAAAGTTACTACACTTAAAACAGTAAAAAACTTCTTGTATGAGCTGGAAATGATCATTTAGCAACTGCTACGAGACTGATGTCAGAGTAACTTCTGGTAGAGTTTGAACAAAATATCAAGTATGAAAAGCTCAATTACCTTCTGCTATGCATTACAGCATATTATCTGTTCCTGAGTCCTGAGTGCATGGTAGCTAAAGGAAGGTAACTTGTAACATATAAAACCCACAAAAAACTTGCTCAAGACTCAGCTATCTTAATTATTTTTTTAGATTCCCATACAGAATTATAAAACTCCAAATAAATCTGTTAGGGATATAATGGGGGGGCAGGGAGAGACCACACACAGGGGAAAAAAAACCACCAACCCACAGGACCATTTAAAATCCTCAATTTTACTAAAATCAAGTATCTTTGAGCAAAATGTTGATAAATTCTTGTTCGTTGTGAATACTTTAAAGTACAGGGAGTAATTCTTTTTTTTCTAACATTTACATACAAATGTGTATTTATAAATACAAAAAAAATCATTTCACCTTTCCCTTTAGAACACAAGCATAGTATTAATAAAATACCTAGTTCCACTACTCAAAAAAACCTGAGATCTTTAGATTTTCATTTAAAAAAAAATAGTTATTTGCAATGAAGTTTGTAACAACATCCCTAGTAATGTACTTCAACACTGATCTGACATTACCAGTAGCTGAGAAGAGAATCCAACTCCATGAGGACACATTCCCTAGCCCCTCCTGAGGAGAATGTCAGCAGGTGAAGTGTTAGCTAGTATGCACTGGGATTGAAGGCTTTGTGATACACAGATCTCCACATGGAAGAAGTGAATCATATCTGCCCATTTTATTTGCCAGTCACCTCATCCTTAGACAATACTGAGATATAATCACCTTCTAGAAGATGATTTTGCAAAATTATTATTTCCAACTTTTCTGCAATCATTGCTTATGGAAAACTTACCCAATAAGATCAAGGAGACAGGATTCATCATCGTCATCATCCATGACAACTAGAACGAAGAAGGAGAGGATGGATATTTGATATGTATCACATAACAGTTTGCTTTCAACAACAAAACCAATTTAGAATATCTCACTATTTTTTATAAAACAATTTATGAAGTTGACAGTTGTTTACTACTGGCAAAGTTCTTAAATAAATTTGCACTTTCTACAGACATCTGCTGATTTATCTCAAAATCAAATTCAGTCACATGCAAAGATTTACAAAATCCTGAGCAATGTTTTACCCTCCAGGGGATTTTTATAATTTAAAACCAGTGAAAGACAAATGATTCACCAAATTGATTAAACAGAACTTCTATGACTTAAGGTAGTAAAAACACTGACACTGAATGCAATCTAAGACTTCAGTTAAAATGCTTCTATAGAAGGACTTTATTCCCAGCTAATACCAGTGAGGAAATAACCAAACACTACAGAACCTACAAAGGCTGTTACAAATTAGTGGCTATAATACTGAGCAGACAAAAAGGTAAACAAATTAAGGGCAGTATCATGAGGGGGCTGCTACAGTCTAGAACCAAAACTACAGCCGAGACACGACAAAACATTAAAAAGAACACTATTTTCTAACAGACCTTTCTTAGCAATAGCTAAGTGACACTGTGGCCACTTCCAGTTTCTCCGCAGCAATATTCCGAAGTGCACTTCAATGAACTCGTGATTAACAATACAGTGTTCTGACAGTCCTTTTAACAACGGGTGGGGAGGGAATTCATTGGCACAAGCCAATCTGAGGGCAACTATCCCCTTACTGTGTGCAGAGCATTTTTAGCTTCACTGTATCATGACCACCAACCCTCTTATGCACTGCAGACTCCATCAGGTGCTGCCTGTACCAAACATATTCCAGAACTCTCTCCTCCGATCGCTGTTCCTTCAAGCTTCTGTTTGATTATCCTGGGCTCTCCTGTTCACCGTAACTCTCAGAATATCATCTGAGACTGTACCTTCTCCTTTGTTCTTGTCAGTAACTCTCAAGACCATCCCATCTAACCCACCAGTTCAATTATCAATCGATGCTAGCGTTTCCAAAACCTCTTGGTACCCTGGCTTCCACCTAAGCTCTCCTATCTCATCTTTACAGTATGTTTAAATCACCTCAAGTTGATCAGTGCATTCCATGCTTGTTTTTTTTTTCTAAACTTCCCTTAAAAAGTCTGCTATCATACTGATCACTCAAATGCATTAACACAGTTTTGGCTTTAATTCATTTTGCTCTCTCTTACTTCTTGCCAAACAGAAGCTTACTGTCCCTGACCAGAGATTCATGCGAATCGTTCTTCAGGTCGTCTCTCATGCAGATCTCCATAGGGATTCACACAGTGAAGAGACTGGAGAACCCGCTCTGCAAGAGGCTGAGAGCACCAGGACCATTCTGCCTGAGAAACAGAAGGCTATGGGAAGATCTTAACCAGGTGTATAAATACCTGGTGGAAAGATGTTAGGAGTATTGAGCCAAACTCTTCTTACTGGCATCCAGTGAACAAACAAGAGGCAAGGGGCACAAATTGAAAAAATATAAACCAAAAAAAGTCTACTTAAACATAATAAAAACCTTCTATTTCTTTTAAAAACTCTGAGGGTAGTCAAATACTAGGCTCATGTTTTCCAGCAAGGTTATGGAGACTCTATCCTTGGAGATATACAGAACCCAGCTGGACCACAGCCTTGACCTGTCTGCTCTGGCTCAGCCTGCTGTGAGCAGGACAGGGGATGAGGTTATCTGCAGACATCCTTTCCCACCTCAGCTGTCCTGTGATTCTGTAACCTCCTTCCTGAAATTTTTCTCAACTCCACTGATTCTGAAAATAGTTTATGTTGTAGACTAGCAGAGGGTACTGTGTCCTCTATACTCTATAGCCTTATTCGGGTTTTTTCTTTAGCTGTGTTTTACACTTACGGTGAGGGTGAAGCAGAAACAGAGCACATGTCACCATAAGGATCATTCAGTATCACCTCTCTGGGAGAACAGGAAAACAAAGCATGGCTACAGAAAACTACCTCAAATGCTGACAAAAATCAGCATTCATGAGGTGATTATGCATCTTAAGAAAAGTAATTTCTCCCATGATTCAGTATTACATCTGCTTACTATTGCATACAGCCACCAGCTTGAGCACTGATCTTGCAATTTAATTCTCAGCAAACTGCATGACATTGTACGACGTCACAAAATTTAATGTAAATGTGCATTACTAAGAACAAACTAATAAGCAAATAGCATTAAGTGATTAGCATTCTGCTTTAACTGTACTGCTAGTACTGCTTACAGAAAGCTGTTATTTCCTCTAACAGCTGAAAGCATACCCATCTCTCAAGAGCAAGGTTCCAAACATTCCTAGCTAACCAAAGTTCAAAAGTCAAAATTATCTTTGTTTTCACACTGCTTTTGAATATCCCATCCCATGTGTCTATGGCAATACTGACAGCATTATTTAAATACAATAAAATGTCTTTGCTTTACCTAACTAAATATTCTCTGTGATTATATTATAATAAGGGTTCACCATTAGCAAAAGTGACAACATAGAACTTTGTTCAATTGATACTCCTGTGGGTATTAAAACAACTAACACAAATTCAGAGAAATTTGGTAATTTCACTGAATTCCTCAAAACTCACATATAATAATCAGAAGGAAAATAAAATGCACGAAAGCACTGATTAGAGGAGATCTTAATGGTAATACATATTCTTCACTATTACGCCCTTTAGCTGAACATACAGTTGGCTTTATTAGATAAACATGATACAAAAAAGATTTACCCAAGATACTTTAAAAGCCTACCAGTTTATGATGGACAAAAAGCCTCAAAGAAAACAGCTGCATTTTTTATAAACACCAAGAATCAAAACCAGTTCCCTCCTGAAGTGCAACTTCCTAACAAGCTTTAACAACATTCTTGTCATCACTAGCAGAATTCTGTCACACATGAAAAAGAAATATGTCACCTTTTCATTTTTAAGGCTAGTTTACCAATGAGCTAACCTGTATAAAACCATCTCCAAGTTTCCATACAGCTGATCACTGTACATCACAGAGCCACTTATCATACACAGCTCTTGCTACATTCAGAAGTCATTCCAATCAGCATTCACTGCACAAGGGGCTACATGCTCCCACATCTCAAAAACTGCAAATAAAGCACAGATAGATCACTACCATCTTGCTATCCCCATAAATCATGGCACTAACAAGGTGCTGCATGGCAGTGCTTTTGTGAAGTACCACAGGACCAACATGCAATTTGAACAGCACTCACAGAGGTATGTCGTCTGTGAAAGAACAATCAAGATCACAGCCAAGCCAGAAACCTACTTATTTAGACTAAATTCTGCTCCTATTTCACCACACATACCCAAAATTGACATAAACCATGGAACTGCATATTGTGGTTTAACCTGGCAGGCAGCTAAGCACCACACAGCCACCTTGCTTGCTTCCCAAAAACAGAATGGGGGAGGGAATCAGGGGAAAAAAGGTCATACTCAGGAGCTGAGACAAAAACAGCTTAATATGACAGGAAAAAAAAAATTTAAAAAAAAAAGAAAATAATAGCAATGATAAAAGAATATGCAAAACACGGGATGCACAATGCTCACCACCTGCTGACTGATGTCCAGCTCAATCTAAGCAGCAGGCCATCACCCACCAGCCAATTCCCTTCAGTTTTATTGTTCTGCATGATGCCACATGGAATGGGATATTCTTTTGGTCAGTTGGGGTCAGCTCTGCTGGCTGTGTCCCCTCCCAGCTTCTTGCCCACCTCCAGTCTCCTCACTGGTGGGGTGATGTGAGAAGGCGGAAAATCCTTGGCTTAGGAGCAGTCACTGCCCAGCAACGACTAAAACATCAGTGTGTTATCAACATCATTCTCATCCTAAATCATACAATTCAAATCATTGGTTGTTCTCACAAAAAACCAAATCCCCTTGAGGTTCACACAGGCCTTCCCCATCCTTCTGCATTAACCACTAAGTGCACCCAGGACCCTGAGTAAATGCAATCCCATGGATGGGTTTGCCTTTGCCTGAAACAGGAACAACCCAGACTGGCTTCCCCAGCATATTTTTCTATGTGCACTATAGGAACTTTATCCCCTTCTACAGTATGCAGAAGTTTTGATTGGGCAGGGCCAGCCCAATTAGCAAACCCCCTAATGTAAACTAATCACATGGCTTTTGCTAAACGTGTATCAAAATGTTTGAATGTCCCAGTACCCCTTGCTCTCAACGTGACCTTTAACAGTCCATTGTATCGTTTGATTTTCCCAGAGGCTCATGCAGGACAGGGAGGGTGATACACCCAACTCAGTGCCATGTGCTTTGCCTATTTCAGCCACTGTCCTCCACGCCAGAGGGGTTTTAGCCACTTGGCTTGTTTGACTGCAGTCCATGTGTCACATTCATGGATAACCTGTGCAATAGTATCCGTGGTCAGGTTCACCCTGTGATCACAAGCCCACCTATATGTTGCATCTCTTGCTGGCCTAAGCTGTCATGGGCTCACCAAGCTATAAATAATTCACCCTTACATTGCCAGTGCAGATCAACCTGAGCCACTTCAGTCTTAGCAGCCTGTTGTACCTACTGGCTGATGTTCTTCAGTGTCACTCCAGATGAACACAGATAGGTTCTGTCCCTTTGTAACTTGATGGCATTAAGGGTACACTGTGCACCACTACCCACCAGTGTTATCTCCTGTGGCTCTGATGTGCCAGACCACCAAATCCACACAGTCCAATAAACCGGGCAGTCCCCCTTCCTCCACCTGGCTGGAGGCAGGGCCCTTCCAGTCCTGGTCATGGTATTTGTTACTTCTTGCAAATACAAATCAGTTCCCTTGCTGGCGGGGCAGTATGAGAAGGTGAAAAGTCCTTGGCTTAGTGCAAGCACTGCTCAGGAACAACTAAAACATCATCTGCTATCAACGTTATTCTCATCCTAAATCCAAAACACAGCACTGTACCAGCCACTAGGATGAAAATCAACTTCATCCCAGCCGAAACCAGGACACTGCAGGTTTAAATCTTTTTTAACTGATGCCTATTTTCAACAACGATTAGCAAACGATTAGTGTCCTGGTAATTTCAGGAGAGCAACAGTGGAGGTGAACAATCAGACAGAGTACCTGCACACCTAAAAGCAACTAGTTATTCGGTCTACTTAGAAATTTGAGCAACACATGACCTTGACACAGATGATCATTTAAAAGTGTGTTAATAAAAGCAACCTTGTCCTGTGGAATTTTCCAAACGCATTCTCTACAGCAAAAGCGGTAGAAAAGTTTGCCACTTTTCTTGCCAACTATCAAGTTTTCTTGCCAACTATCTTTTCAAGTTTTCTGTCCTCCTCACTGTTTGTTAACGTACAGTGGGCCAAAGCAATGACTGATGTATGAAATGGGTATAAACCATATTATAAATCAGGACAGTTTGAAAATAAAACTTAACACAATTAATGGAATTAAGAGTTATGTACCCTAGACCAGTGGTCTTCAAAGTGGGGTTCATCCAAATAATTTACAAGGGGCAATCCTCACTTATTAGTCATAACCCAGCACAGATATTCCCTGTAGCTTACTAGCAAGGCCTTTACTGTTTTATTTCATATCTTTGCTACTGCACTGGTGAATCCAGTATATACTTCAACTTGTGTCACATGTACTCGTGCAAGCAGCACTGCCTATCCGTTTTGGGAAATAACCAGAGTGCCCTTTATCGCACACTCCCAAACAGAATACAAGAAAAGTTGAAAGTAATAAAAATGACAAGAAAACCCCAACTATGAAAGCCAGTCCTCTGGGAGACTGTTATTACTTGGCCTTAAAGCCTCTGCCTTCATTTCAACACTCTGACCTACTACGGTGCAAAAAAGACCAACAAAAGACGAATAGAGCAGTCCTGCCCTCCACTCACCCACTTTCCAGCTCAAGGCTTTGAACTGTCACCCGGAACAGAAAACTGATCTGATAAAATACATCAATCTGTTTCAACTTAGATTAGCTTCTTAATTTGGTTCTGGCTTGCCACAGGGCTACAACAGTGCCAGTGCCAGCACAAGAGAACACGAATAGGAATGGGGGAGCCGGGTAGTTCAATAGGGGCGGAAGGCAGCAGTGCTTCAGTCAGCTTAAAGCGCCCGTGGGGCTGCAGCCGCACATGTTAATACAACCACGGCCCTCACAGCAGCTGCAGTGCAGGCAACAGTTCCATGAAAGTGATAATTCCCTTCTACTCAGTATTTGTGAGCTCCCACCTTAAATCTGTGTTCAGTTTTGCTGCACGCACCCCTCTTAAAATAAATACAAAACAACTTGAAGGAGTACAACAGAGTGCAAATAAAATCCTGCAGGCACATGAGGAAACTACTTTTCTTCAGCTTGGACAGCAGAAGGCAAACCCAGGTGCTACCTGCAGCCTGCCACAAGCTAAAAGAGGCACTCAGATGAGCCAAGACAGCCTCGGCTCATCAATACACAGCAAGACATGAGGCAACAGCCAAAACACGCAACATAGAAAATCCCAACCCAGTGCAAGGAAGAAAGAAGTTCACAAACAAGAATGTTCAAGCAAGAGCGTGGAATCACCATCTCTGGAAATTTTCAAAACTCAAATAGCCCTGACCAGCCTGTCCTAACAGTGAAGCTTGTTCTGCTTACAGCAGGGGGCAGGGCCAGGTAAGCTCCAGTGGTCCTTACCAGCCTAAATTTTAATCACCGTGCTACACAATCCACAGCATCATGCAACTCATGTAGGGCCTATGATCTGCTGTGTCATTATAACTAGATTTGTCCAGAAATGGTTCAACTATTCACACATGCTTCATATACCATACGTGATTTTTGTAACTTAAAAAATGTATTTAAACTGCTGTAAACACTGGATTTTAAATTCACTCAAATTATATTCAAGCTTGCCACAAAAGAATTATTTCCCTTTCTCAGAGTCATTTAGAATTTCCTACAACCATAATACATCACTTCAGATACAAAGCAATAAAATATTATCTTCACACTCTGTAAAAAGCCCAAGATAGTGGCTAGCTTAGTAAAGCAACATTTAGAGCAGTAACTTCCAAAAGTGTGATACAATCAACATCAAAACTTGGTAAGCTACAAGGAAATAAACTGATCTACAAAACTGTTGGGAAAATCTACAGACTTGTAGGTTTTGTGCCAATACATGGAATCCATTCTTGACTGGCAGCATGGT